TCCTTTCTCCCTCTCTCTCTCCCTTTCTCTGTCTCTCCATCCATCTTTCATTTCTTAAATTCGTTAATTGTACTCAAATTTGGCAGTTGGTTTGGGCCTAAGTTTTTTTTTATTTTTATTTTTTTGCGGGCATTGCCAAGACTGCCCGCACCGCGGGCACTTAGCTAGTAGTATGATTATACAGCAAACGGAGCCCCAGATAATTCAGAATGACTGTATTCTGCTCTCATGTGATTGTGTCTGGATTCGAACTTGGGGGGTCTGTTATTTCAACAGTTCATGGGTGTACCAACTGAGCTACACGCGCTGGTATTACATCACCCCCTTCCGTACAAATTGAAAATTAAAAGATTTCTTGATGAATATGTGCCATCCTTCCACAGGGGGCATTTGCTAATTTACCCTTCTCTGTGTAGTTCCAATTTTAATGGATGTCCCGAAGGATACAACGGATTTAAGTTCTGGCACAAGTTAACCCTCAGGGGTTTTAGTTGGTCTAATCTGAGCACAAGTTAACTGCGAGGGGCTCCGGGATACTGTTTACTGAGAGGTGTTGCGAGTGGTGGTCCCGGGGCCAAGTTTCCCCCCTGAGGGTCCTGGTGGAGTTTACCTCCAAAGTCTGAAAACTAGGCTTGAGCCCCTAATGAATGAGACTTTTGAACTTTTCCTTTCGGTAGGAGGAAGGTCTCGTAGGTCTGACTGTGGGCAAGTCGTTGTATAGGGGATGCTGGACCTGTTTTCCAGCAGGTGCTGCTCCCCACCCATAGATGGAGCCTCCCCTACGGTACTAGTGGTGTCGGATCATATCAGCAGATTCAGCACCCCTACGGTAGCATTCAGAAGGGAGTTTTTGTTATTAAAAAAGAAAAAGAAAAAAAAGGAAAAAAAAGAAGGAGGGAGTTCTCTTTGAAATTTGCGCTGGTGTTCCTTGGCTTTGTCTTCGTCCTCTCCTTCATCCTCTGCTTCGTACTCTTGCACCGTAGTACCCAGTCTCCGGTTTCCACCTGCTGTTTTGAAGTATTCCCCATGCCTCTTGGGTGTGCATCTCGTCTTTCTATTGTTTCTTGGCATCTCGTCTTCCATATAACCCACCCATATTATTGCTTTTCTAAGTACTCCTGAAGAGGTTAGAGTCCGTTAGACTCTACTACTGGGGTCCAATCTACCGAGATGATGTCGAATCCGAGGAGAAGAAGGGTGTGGCTGTTTGTGATTACCGTGCCTGTAACTGTTCCCCATGTATTTGCTACCTTTTGTTCTTCCCATACTTGCAAGCGGACGCCGTCCGGGCGGTTCCGCACGTGCGGCAGACCGCCGGACCGGACCCGCGCGGCGCACGAATGTGCGCCCGACGACCAGTTACGCCCCCCCCCCCMCCCCCCCCCAAAAAAAAAATGGCCCTGTCCGATCCGGTCCGGGTCCGTCTGGTCCAGGGGGAGGGTGCCGCACGCGGCAAAGCGGACCGGACGAACGTCCGGTCTGTCTGCTTGCAAGTATGGAAACTTCTTCCATATAGGTTGATATAATTATATTATAATCATATAAATTGATATAATGATATAACCCAATATTATTGCTGTTCTAACTTCTAAGTAAAATCTGAAGAGGTGAGACTGTGATGGCACTGATGGGGTCCAATCTACTGGGATGTTGAATCCTCTTAGACTACAGTCTTCCCCCGAATACAACGTACGGTCATTATAGCTGAATTTGGGGTATCTTTCAGTCTAAATTCAGCTATAATGACCGTACGTTGTATTTGGGGGAAGACAGTAGGAGTAGGAGAGTGTGGGCTGTTCGTGATTAACGTGCCTGCTACTGTTTGCCATGTATTTGCTACATTTTGCCACAGGGGCTTTACTCTGGGGAATGGGAGAAAACAGTGATAAGTTTTCTACCTTACCTTCGTCGCAATATGCACATGTTCTTTTAGAGGGCTTCTGTCCTCTCTTTTTTTTCCATCTAACGTTCAGCCATTGCTTTTGAGGGACTGCGAGGTACAGTATTAGTCATTGTAGGCTTCTGAATTTGGGCCGGTGCGTGGACTTGGGGCCATGCGGATTCATTTTAAATATTTTTCATTCATTTTTGGCACGGCCGGGCAAGTGGTGGTCCCGGGGCCAAGTCCGACTTGCGCCATTGAGGTGGCTCAACGATCAGTTCTCGACGACTTGTGACTTGGCGCGACTGCGGAGATCACTTACTTAGCTTCCTGCGCATCGGGCGGTGTTTTTTTTTTGTGGGTATATTGATTCTTGAACTATATTCACAAATTGAGTTTTGTGTTGCTTTTGTGTTGCTTTTCTTGTTGAAGAGACCAGCAAATAAAAAAACTGTTTCCCCGAATACAACGACCCCTACCCTCCCACTGTTCCGTTGACCCATCTACCCCACTTGGAGGGGTGTACCCGGTGTAGCTAGCTCAACGGCTCAGCTGATGGTGCGAAGGTGAAGGTAGCAAAAAGATGAAAAAAAAAAGGAATTAAAATTTAAATTTTAAAAACTGTATTCTATCATTTTTCATTATTTTTTATTAGCTTTTTCAGTGTCGCACCACTGAGCTAGCTCAACTTAACAACACGTGGGACTTGGGTGCCGGGGTAGGCTGGTAACGTAGAAAAACATGTGGAAGACAGAACACGGAACAGAAGAAGAAGAAAAGAGGACGGAGAGGAGAAGGGGGAGAGTGAAGGAGGGCGAGGAGGAGGCGGCGGAGGAGAAAGCAAGAGATGAAGACGAAGAAGAGAAAGGACGGAGGGCAGGGAGAAGGTAAAGAGTGAAGGAGGGAGGAAGGGAGTGAGGGAGAGAAAGGGAGGAAGGAGAAGGAAAAGAAGGACAAGAAGACAGAAGGAAAGGAAGAGGAAGAGGGAGGGAGGGAGGGAGGGAGGGAGGGAGGGAGGAAGGGAGCGAGGCTGTGTCAGAGCAAGCTAGAAAAAGGAAGGAAGGGATGGAAGCGAGGGAGGGAGAAAGACCAAGGAAATGCAAGAAGACAATTGAAGAAAGTGAGAGAGAGTAAAGAAGAGGGAGGTAGGGAGGGGATGCCTTCAGGCAGACAGGCAAGCAGCCAGGCACACGCGCCTAGGAAGGAAGCAAGCAAGCAATGACAGACATATGGAAACAGATAGATGGATGGATGGATGGAGCGATGGATATATATATATATATATATATATATATAGAGAGAGAGAGAGAGAGAGAGAGAGAGAGAGAGAGAGAGAGAGAGAGAGAGAGAGAGCTGCACGTAACCACTACGAAGTTGTACAAAGACGAGATATGATTGACTGGCTGGCAAGCGTCTTCTTACCTGAATCCGCATGGCAAGCTGAATGAGACCGCAAGAAGTAAGTCACCAAGATAATTCAAGTGCCTTGCCGTCCCCCTTGTTTCCATGCGCGGAGTTCAGGAGAAGACGGAACACGGAAATGATGAAAGAACAAACAAAAGAACCCACAGAATCACATCAGTTCTTGTCACACAATACCGCAAAAAAATCCAAGAGATAATAGAAATGCATGGAGAGATGTTAATCATGAAACTGATTGAGCGAACGCTGGTTTGAAGCTTCAATCTGTGGTCTACGTAAAACTGCATATGAAATGTTATATATGAACATTGAATAAACCTGATCAAGTGAACATAGCAGGCTACCCCGGCAAGAGTTGGTGGGGCGGGATCACACTGGCAGCTACGTGAGGAGAGGGGGAAGGGATGGATCTGAAATCAAGTCTTCCTTTGCTGTTTTCTGCGCCGTCAAAGAGGAGCTTCCGTGACCCATTGGAGGAGACTGCCATGCTCACAGCAGCTCGGCGCCAGCTGCCAGCCACCAGCTCTCTCTCTCTCTCTCTCTCTCTCTCTCTCTCTCTCTCTCTCTCTCTCTTGGAGGGTTGGCATGCAGGGGCAAAATGGTGGCAGCGCCAGCCAATAGAAGGCCTGCGCTGTTTGATTTCTTTTTGGCGCGCAGTGTGCGTTTCAAGGGTCGGCAAGGGAAGTGTCAAAAGTACTGTTTTTTGTTTTGTTTTGTTTTTGTTTTTGTTGTTTGTTTGTTTGTTTGTTGTTGTTGTTGAAAACACCAGGTGGTTCAATGTCGGTTTTTGATGATTTTTATTGATTGTTTATTATGTTTAATGAACTCCAATCAAGTTCAATGATATGATATTATCATATTAGTTTCATCAACTTTCATGGACATTATAATTACATGTGTGGGGTTTCTTTGGATATAGAGCCTCTTTGTCTGTCTCCACTTGCACCACCTTATTTCAGCCTCAATGAGATCCTTTGTGGCCGTTCAGACCCCTTTCCTAATGCCACTTTCTAGTTTTTGTTAATTGTTTAATGACATGAATGTAGCCAAATTATAAATACATATGCGCTGCATTGAGCAGAAAAAAAATATTTTCAAGGTGTGTGGAGTCTATGGATCCATTTCATGATTCAAATTCATTCAATAGAATTTAGAGAAATTTTATGTGTTTCTTTTGAGTTTTAACTTTTAAGGCTTTTAACTCAATGTTGACAAGTTTTGACCCCATCTTGTGGAAAAGACGGGAGTGTCCGCCTGGATTTGAATTGCGATATGGCCTCTGCTCATTTTCCAACTAAAATAATGGTTCTAGAACGACATGGTACTCTCTCTCTCTCTCTCTCTCTCTCTCTCTCTCTCTCTCCCCCCCCCCTCTGTCTCTAGAAGAAGGCGAGAAGGACAGGCTAAGTGGAGAGGGAAGCGAAGAGGTGAAGCCTGCTCACAACGACCTTGAGTATTCAACCCTAAACCAAAAATTAGAAGGGGAAGGAAAGAGGAGGTAAAGTCTTGGCGCATGAATGTGTCCACTTCCGGCGGGAAAGGGGGAGGGAAAAAGCAGAAGGAGAGACCGAAGGCGAAACCCAAGGGCACAAAACCGATGAAAATGGATACAAGATAATCAGAGGCAAAAACTCGAGAAGAAAAGGGATAAGATTACCAACTGGCCTAGCTCAGTTGGTACACCCCCCCTGGACTGAATTGTTGAAATACAGACTCAAGTTGGAACTCCACTGGAAGCCGATGAGGGTAAATAGTTAAGTTAACCATTCTACAATTCTGAAATACCTTGGGCAGGTCAGTTCGACAACGATGATATCACAAGGCCGTCACCCTTTAAGCAGGAAAAGGAAAAGAGAGAGTGGGAGAGAGAAAAACAAAGGGATAAGAATCATAAGATATTAAGCTTCAAGGAAAATTGGAAACGGGCGAGGGAAAGGAGTAGCAGATAAGGAACAGACGGGAAAACAGAAGGGCACACAACGGGTAAGAATGGACGTAAGCAGCAAACCAGTGTTGGTACACCCACAAACTGGTGAAATACAGACCCGAGTTTGAATCTGATGCAATAAGAATGAACAAAATATATATATATTGTACATATGTATCGTCACAAGAATATCAGAGCGCAGATGCGAAAAAAAAAAGAAAACAACAAAAGAAAGAAAAACAGGAAAAAATAAATTCAGTTTTTTTAACTTTTTTATCTTCTTCCTTATAACTCCCCCTGTTCAGAACCTCTTGCGTACAAGGCCGCCCACGTGGATGTCAGTTGAGCGGCGGCTGCCCCCACCCCCGTATTGTTCAGGCCTGAAAACCAGATGCCCCGTTAACCTCTTGATATATTATATATATGCCCACCTCAGGGTATCAGTTGTCGGGCAGTCGTTGATGCTTAACCACAGCCGGGGTTAAGGTGGATTATCACTTACAGTGTAATCAGTTAGGGGATTCTGCAGACTGTTGAGGGTTCAGCCTCCTGATGAGTCGGTGAAACTCCGACGAAACAGTTTGCCACAGCCCCACGTTTGTTGTCCTCTTCTCCCTCCCTCTCTGCCTACGGTTTACCGGGCAGCTCTGTTTGACTATATATATAAAAATATAATTACCTGGGGCCAGTCAGTCGAATGATGACATCTGAAGGCAGTAACCCTTTTCAAGGGGCGAACAAGGGACATACGAAAAACTTAAAGTGAAGAGCAAAGGTGAGAAATCAGGACCCTCAAGATTGCTATGCCTGTTCAAGTCTTTCTGGTCATCTGTGTTCATAATCCACCGCCCAGAATGGACCTAGTCCCAGCATTCGTGGTAAAATCGCCAACACTTTTCCCATCTAGGGACTCCAGGTGCCGTGGAAGGGCGTTGATGAAAAAATATCACTCACCAAGGGCCTGCCGAAAAGGTGGCTACCCCTGAGGTGGCGGCTATGGCCAGGCAAAGATAATAGCCTGGGAAAGTACTGGGGGTTTGAAAGTGGAACAACATGTACCCGGGCCATGTGGCTGAATGATGCTTACTGCCATATGGACCGGGTACATATTGTGTTCCGCTTTCAAACCACCAGTACTTTCCCAGGCTATTATCTTTGCCAGGAGTTCGAGGTACGATGACCGGAACAATATGTAACTGGTGGTAAACGACAACAGAACAGGAAAATGAAATTTTCTGAAAAATAAAAAAACAGAACTGGAGTTCGAGTTCTGATGGGATCAGGTAAAAACTACTAAAAAGTAAATACGATGAGTTGGGGATCTGATGGGCATCATATGATTTGGGGCTACCTTCTTCACCCGAATACAACGTACAGTACGGTCATATTATTAGAAAAAAGAAAAGAAAAAAAAAGGAACGGTACAGAGCAGATAGATTAGCATGGCCCCTGCTTTTGCTTACTTTGAAAGAAAAGACAAAAAAAGAAAAGAAAAAGAAAGCATATGTTAACTGTCAGTGATCAGTACTGAAGATGTTGCTGAAAAATGGACCCAACAAAAAACAAGAGACACCAAAGAAAAAAAAAAAAAGAAAAAAAAAAAAGAAAGAAGAAGAAGAAGAAGAAGAAAAAAAAAAGCAAAGGACACTGCTGAGTTACCATATCAGTAGAACATACCAAAATCCAGAAGCCAATAGCTTCCCACCAATGACATGTGGTGGCTTTCCCCAAATCAAAGCCTTTGGGTCCTGCTTAAACCTATGTTTCTGTAGATTTGTCCCACGAAAGATAATGAATCTGCACAGATCAATGCCAATCATCCCGTGAGAAACAACATCCGAACAACAAAAATAACAAACAGCAACAAACAAGATCTCTTAGATCGAGTGCAGGGGGCCAAGTATTTCTCTAAGATAGATTTAAAGTCCGGATATCATCAGATAGAGGTACATCCTGATGATCAGTATAAGACAGCCTTCCGGAATAGGTACGAGCATTACGAGTTTATAGTGATGCCCTTTGGACTAACCAATGCGCCAGCTACGTTCCAGCGCTGTATGAACGATTTGTTTAGGCCGTGTTTAGACAGATTTGTTGTAGTTTACCTAGATGACATCCTAGTGTTTAGTCGAACCCTCGAAGAGCATCAGGGCCATCTCAGGCAGGTCTTGGAGAAGCTGAGGGAAGCTAACTTCAAGATCAATGCGAAGAAGTGCGATTGGGCGAAGACCCAAGTTCTGTATCTCGGCCACGTCTTAGACGGAGACGACGTTAAGCCAGAGGATAGCAAGATCGCAACGATTAGAGATTGGCCCACGTCACGTACGCTGACAGAGTTGCGCTCGATCCTGGGCTTAGCAAATTACTACAGGAAGTTCGTGAGGAACTTCTCCACCATCGTTGCGCCCCTTCGCAGATTGCACAATCTGGAAGTGGGACAAGGACTGCACGTCTGCGATGAAGAAATTAAAGCAGGCGTTGATAGAGTAGCCGGTCCTTAAAGTCGCCGATCCGTCCTTGCCTTTTGTCGTTACTACGGATGCTAGCCAGTACGGCATAGGCGCAGTGTTACAGCAAGACGATGGCAATGGGTATAGACCCGTAGAGTTCATGTCCGTTAGAATGCCTTCAGAGAAGGTCGCGACATCTACCTATGAGAGTGAACTCTACGCTCTCAGGCAAGCGTTAGACCACTGGAAGCACTACTTGCTTGGGAGACACTTCAAAGTCTATTCTGACCATGAAGCGTTACGATGGTTAAAGACGCAGGCCAAGATGACACCTAAGCTTACTAGGTGGTCCGCACAAATAGATCAGTACGACTTTGAGCTCAAGCCTGTCAAAGGGAAGTATAACGTAGTTGCGGACGCTCTGAGTAGGAGGGCAGATTACTTTGGGGCGAGTGCATTACCTCGATATAGGGAAGGACCTACAGCAGAAGGTTAGAGAAGCCTACGCGCAGGACCCTATCTATAGCGAGCTCCTCGCGCGAGTCAGGGAGGCCCCAGAGACCGAACCGAACTACCGCACTACAGAAGGGCTGCTTTTTGAGAAGACTAACGTGTTTGACCGCCTGTGCATCCCCAATAGCGAAGAGATCCGCAATTTGATCCTGGGAGAATGCCATGATACAGAGGGTCATTTCGGTTGGCAAAAGACTTTAGCCAATCTCATGCGCGTGTATACCTGGCCAGGAATGAAGAATGACTGCGTAGAGTATGTTCGCAGTTGCAAAGTCTGCCAGCGTAACAAGAGTTCTACACGCGCCCCGCTAGGTCTTCTCAGACCCTTGCCCATTCCGGATCAGCCGGGAGACTCAGTGTCCATAGACTTCATGGACACTCAAGTCAAGAGTAGGCATGGCAAGAGCCAAGTCATGGTCATAGTTGACCGTTTAGTAAGTACGCAGTTTTTGTTCCTTTGCCTTCTGAGGCGCGTACTGATTTAGTCATACAAAGGTTTTTTGACTGTTGGGTTAGTGAGAATGGAATCCCGCTGTCAATAGTTAGCGATAAAGATAGTCACTTTACTAGCCAGAACTGGCAAGAACTCATGGGAGTGTACGGATCTAAGTTGTTGATGTCGTCCGGCCGTCATCTAGAGACTAACGGTCAGACATGGCAAATGAACAAGATCCTACAGCAAGTTCTGCGCATGTATATTAGGCCAGATCAGATTAACTGGGATGAGATGTTGCCCAAAGTAGCTAGTGCGTATAATAATAGCGTGCATCTGTCTACATGCCGCACTCCCAACGAACTGCACAAGTCCTTTAGACCGCGCAGACCGTTTGAGGGACTCAGCTGCGATCAGATTCACAGTTTGCCACCCGGGACCCGGGAGTTTGCTGTACAGCATGAAAAGGAACTAGCTACTGTTGTAGAAAACCTTAGGAAAGCCCAGCATAAGATGATAGAGCAAGCGCACAAACATCGTCGCCCGTCACAGTTTCAAGTAGGCGACTTAGTCTGGGTTAGTTCTAAGGAGTTTGCACCTGCGGAGAACATCTCGCAGAAGTTACTGCCCACCTATAGAGGTCCGTGGCCAGTCCTAGAAGTCAAGGGCGGTGAAGATGGACCGTCCTACACCATAGAGTTGCCAGCTCACCTCCACACGTACCCAGTTTTTCATGCATCGAAGTTGTTACCTTGTCAAACAAGTGATCAGTTTCCATCCCGTAGATCTATGATTCCGCCCGATATGGATGGAAGGTATGACATCGATGGCATAGTTGCTGAAGA